CTCATGTCCAATTGAGCCGTGTCCAACTGGGTGCCACCCATTCAGAACTACGACCGTTCACTGAGCGTTCAGGGAGCTTTTGTATGTGTTTGGTCTATATTTTTAGATCTAACGGAATATACAAATCAGATCCAAGAGCTCACTGAGTACTGAATGCACCCATTACCCCGGATCTACAATAGGGTTTTAAGCCTTAAGCCATAAGAAATGGGTGAATCACAGTCGCTTATTCTTCTCGGATTTGACTGTAATTGGTCAGTTTCTTACGGCATAAGGCATAAAACACCTATTGTAGATCCGGACTTAAGGTAAATTGTCACGAGTTGCTCTAACCGGCTGTTTTAGCAACAAAAAATGTCACGTGATCAAAATGGGCGTTTGATATTCGTCAATTTTGACCACACGATTCTTTTTGTCATTAAGGCTGCTTTCCTTTTAGGAGACACAGTCGACACAAATCGACACAAGTGTCGTTCTATCTTTGTCACTCTCTGAATATCAAGAAGGATAGAACGACATTTGTGTCGACTTGTGTCGATTTGTGTCATCAAATGGAAAGCAGCCTAAAACAGTCAATTTGAGCAGCTCGTGAAAATTTACCTTTAGTTGCATTCAGCGGACTTATATATATTGGTAATTTTAAACGTCTTTTTTGACAATATATTTTAATCCTAAATGTAATAAATCGTTTCATGATTTTATATGAAATATTGTGACAATTTTTAAATGTCTTATGTGATTGATAACAAGGTTAGAATGTTACTTTCGACGCTTTCCTATCACATAATATCTGTATCTTTTATATATTATTCGAAACCTTTATAATAATGTATATAGCCTTACCTATATATTTATAATTTTGATACAACTAAAATAATTTCGTTACTTCTGATCACTTCGCATTACAGCTTCCATGACCCTACGCTTTACGTAGTAGAGAGTCTAGAGCTCTTCTCTAATAGAGTCAAAGATATAGGTAAATACAATTATACTTAAGAACTTAAAATATGTCGATATATTTTAGGTCAAAAAATGGTTTTTTTTTCCGATGTTTTACCAAATCCAAAAATCTCAAAAAATATTGAATATATGATAAGATTTAGCTGCTGAATTATATTATTGAAGTAGTTAAACATTTAGATCATATAAAAAATGCGATTTTTTAAATTCTTAAATTGTTTAAAAACAGAATTTTGGGCCAAAAATGACAAAACAATTCTTATTTTTTGATACTCTTTATGTCCATGATTTTTCTTTTAAAAATCCGTTTAGATTTAGCGGAGAAAAAAAGATAATGAAAAATCACATTTTTTTCGATATCTCGAAATGATGTGGCTTTTTGGGATGAAATGTATTATGTACTATGTACATAATATTCTTTCATCTGGATATTCATTTTGCCTCCTGTGGCAATCGGGAGGGTTCCGTTAGCGCACAGTACGAGCACACATCCATTTATATCGACCGGTGTCTAGTAATTTTTCACTACTTTATCAATAAGAATATTTTATTTTTAATTAGCCAATTAGCGGTGTGCGTTATCGGAACCCTTCCCGGCAATTGATTACGTGCAGAACCTGAAATCCCCTCCTTATGCTGCTACTCTTTATTAAGTAAAATTATCCAGTTGACTTACTTTTTTTATATGTATAATATAATGTGGTACATATAATCTTGCAGTACTCAATTAATATTTTAAATGTTTTTCGCGTCACATAAGGTATATTTCTTAGTTTCATCTTGTATATTTCAATTCCGTATTACTTTGACAACTGCCATGACCGCTTAGTGCTATTACATACATCCATAGATAGTGACTCGTACTTTGAAAATTTTTGCGCATTCTGCGAAAACCATCAAAAGAAAAAGTGTAACAACGTCAGTGTCCACGACTGTACAGCAATTTATTTAATTCGGAAGAACATGTGTGTACAATTACTAAATATACATTTTTATAATATTTAATTTGATTATTTTTTTTATAAAAGTAATTCGTAAAAATGCTGCAAAAAGAAAGAGAAAAAATGTTATCGACAAAATTCATAAACTTTATAGAAGACATAGTACATCGAGAAAACAAATACTTTTACCTTGTTTGTATAACACCGACCTTCAATTTTTTCTTATTTGTAGCCGATTTTCATTTTTATCTTTATTTTGGGAAGTTTGTAATATAAGACGTTCAAGTTGTTTCCTTATTAATTGTAAAGAGTCACCAGAAATCAGTTTTTCCTGTTGCAATAGGTCAAACAATTTTTTTATTATAGTAACTTTTTCGTTATATCTTCTCAACTTCTGTTGTAATGTTTTATTCTTTACTTTCATATCTTTGACATTTTTTGATAATTCATTAATTTTTTTTGTTGCATTAATAAAATCTATTTCTCTTCTTATTTTATAGTTGAAATTAATGGAACTGGGCAAAGTAGGCACATTTTTTAAACCAATTCGAATAAATTTACGTTTTTGACCTGGCTGAAGAATTGCTTGCTGATTTGGATTTCGAGTGCCAAATATATTTGATCCATCATTTTTTTTCATAATAACATTATGATACTTTGAGTAGTTGTGATCTAATGCAACACTTTTCTCTGAGACATAAGTTTCATTGGAACTTACAGATTTATTACTGCTTACAGAATTGTAGATCTCATTTGAATCAGATCGAAAAAAATTGCATTTTTTATCTAGGTGAGAAATTGTATTTTTAATCGATTGATTTCGATTTTCAGTGTCAAATATACACAATCCATAATTTTCAATCGTAGTGTTAACATCGTTCTTTAAATTAGTGTGATTTCGTACAGCATTTTTGTCAAAAACACAAGTTTCACTAGAACTTACAGATTTAACGCTTGCAGAATTGCAGATCTCTTTTGAATAAGTTCGAATAAATTTGTATTTTTCATTTGTGAGAAATGTGTTAGGGTGAAGAATTGTTTTTTGAACTGATTGATTTTGGTTTCGAATATCAAATGTATTTGATCTATTATTTTCAATCATGCTAACATTATTCTTTAAATTATTGCTATCCCGTGCAACACTTTTCTCCAAGCTACAAGTTTCATTAATGTTTATAGATTTATTAATACTTGTAGTATTGCAGACCTTTTTTGGCTTTAACATTACAGTATCAACCAGTCCATTTTCTGTAACAAATGAAGAATAATCTTTTGGTACAGCATTTTTACGTAAATAAGAACGTTGATATCCCATCCCTTCTATAATATCCTTTTTATTAAAATGCAGATTACAAATTCTGCTTGCTTTTGTCGGTTTCCAATCCGGTTTTCCAACGGCAGCAATCCATTTGTCAAGACGATTTTTATCATTTAGAGGAAACCTATGACATTCAAAACAATGCTTGTTCAATAACTTAAACTGGATCACTTATATCAATAAATGAAATAAGAAAGCGTCAAATGCGGTTTCTAAACATTGGGGTGTAATAGTATTTTTAAATTTTACATGCATCTATATACAGGATGTATAAAAAGTACCGGGGTGGCGAAATATTTCGAAAACTAATGGTGAATTTAACAAACCGTCCTAGTGTGCGCACTGAGTGCGAACTTTTTCGGTGCCACACATTCGGATTATGCACACTGTATCAGTGAGTTTAGATTCTCGTATTCGGCAAATGAAAATTGACCCAGTGTAGTGCTGAATTTATATTTGAACCGATCGAACAAACTAAACGAGTCCAAAAAATGTTGCACTGACATTTCTGACAGTGCAGTTTGGTATAGTACCAAAGTGGTTCTGCACTCGCACCGTGTTAAGAGTAGCACTAGAGCAGAGGTGTATATCATTTGTCCACATCACTAATCAGCTAATTTAAAGAAATACTAAGAACCGACCAATATGAATGGTGTATGCAATTGAACTGTGTACAAGTGCACCGCTGCCCCAGCAGTGCATGTGAGCCGAAATCGTCATAAGCATTTAAGGAAAAAGTGTTTCAGATAAAAGTAGAATTTCAAAAGATCTATTTACTGATGCTATGAGTTTGACTTTGAGTGGCGTCGCCAAGGTCAGATCGATGTTTTAAATCTATTTTTAATTACAAAAATCTAATAACTGGTGTCAAGAGTTTTTCAAAACAACACAATAAAGTTCAATTTTTATTAAGTACTTTTCGAGTTATGAGGCTTGAAAGTTACTGTACCGCTGTCGTTAGCATTACTCAAAAGTGTCCAATCGACGGCTAAAAGCTCTTGAATGTTGTGCGGGATCATGATCTGAATAATATTTATCAGAATCAAGATCATTGGAGAGTGTTCCTATTATTTTCATTTTTATGTAAAAATAAATTTTTAGTGCAATGAAAATAAGAACAACCTCCAATGACCTTGATCTTAACAAATGTTACTCAGGGCATGACCCTGAACAACATTCAAGAGATTTTAGTCAGTCAGACACCTTGGGAAACGCTAACATCGGCGGTACTGTAACTTTCAAACCTCACAACTCGAAAAGTACTTAATAAAAATGAACTTTATTGTAGTATTTTGAAAAGCTCTTGACACCAGCTATTAGATTCTAGAATTAAAAATTGATGTAAAAAATTGATGTAACCTTGACCTGACTTTGTCGATGCTACTCGAATCAAACTCATAGCCAATAAATAGATCTTTTAAACACTATAACTTTAAATCCCCTACAACTTTTATCGGAAATATTTTTTCCTAAAATGCTTAGTTTTCAAGAAATTTTGCCGTCCGGTACTTTTTATACGCTCTCTATAAATAATATGCTTATATGAATAAATCAAGAAAACGCCAAATGCGGTGTAGGCTAGAAATTATTTGTACATGCTCGTCTCTTAATACGTTTTGTCTTTAAATATATTGGTTATTGGCGATAAATATACCACACGTTTCAAAGGTTGAATTAGAACCCGTCCTAAATAGTTGCAGTTCCAGAAAAGTAATTATATGTAACTTTTTTCTAGGATAGAAATGTAAAAAACCATACAGACATATTGAAATTGTCTTTGTTATAAATGTCCCTAACACATGTCATTATTTTATCGATGTGAATTGTCGCATAATAAAATCAAATTTGCAAAGCTTCTTAACATGTTGAATTAAAGATCACGAAATTAAAGAAGACATCAGTATCATGAAGAAGTAATTCTACTTATCGATAACTGTACGCAACCCCTTCCGCGCTGACTCTGATTAGAGCCTTGAAATTTATTTATTATTGTTACTTTAAATACAGAGCCTGTTTTAACCATTATATTCCTCTAGATAATGATAGCATTTAAGAAAAGTTTAGATCCTCAAATCCCTACCAAAAGTAATTCTGACCTCCTAATGATATGATTTTATTCATTTGTTGGCTTATCATCAAAACTGTTCAACACAATAAATATGTTATTGATATGCTCAGAAGTACTTATACCATGTAAGCATAAATAATAAAATCGAGACATCCAAGATGAGCAATGCTGAACTACTTTCTAGGCTGGATGATACAGAATAGAAATCATATAGGAGCTGTTCTTCCTAATTATTACATTACTATTGATAATTCAATACTTCTTAAAGCTCGAGTACAGGCATGTTAATAAAACACGATACCACATGTCTGCAAGATTGTAGCAGAACATAATGATGAAGGAAAAAATGCTATTAAAGAATATTATTGTACATGTAGAATGGTGCTTGTATTGCTGTTTTGCCCTTATTATATGTCGATCATTTAGTATTTAGGCTAAATATCTTCTCAATGATATACGAATTAATATCTTCTGAGTACATTAACAATATATTTGTTGTGTTGGATAGTTCTGATGATAAGCTAACAAATGAATAACATCGCATCATTAGGTTAGAACTATTTTCGGTGGGAGATTGAGGATCTAAACTATTTCTTTTTAAATGCTACCATTATTATCTACAAAATTACATATAATTAATGACTAGATGCGAATGGTTCAAAATTCTTATGAAAATGAGCGGAGTTCTTATAACTGTTGGTTTACCGAGATCTAACCTGTCGTTTTTATAATATTACTTACCGGAAAGAATGAACTTTACTTTTTGATTTAAGATTGCTTACGCATTTTTTTACACTACATGGCATATTTTACATGATAATTATTGACAATTTAGAAAAAAAAAGAAAAACCACTGTAATGCGATTTTTATGTAATGCGTCGTTTACAATAATCGGCAATATTCGATTATTCACATCGCATGGGTTGCGTTCGGAAATGGTCGCGTTCAGCAGACTCAACTGTTGTGGAGCGGATCCGTGAGCGCTCGCTGCTATTGGATGATCTAGAAGAATACACCAATAACAGCGAGCGCTCACGGATCTGCTTCACAACAGTTGAGTCTGCTGAACGCGACCAATATCAACTGGATGCTACCGTGTATCAGACAGAATCAAGGGACTTCTTCAGGTTCCTCTCATAGGCTGCGTTCAGCAGACTTATGCGGGGTCTACAATAGAAGTCGTAGCAGTCGTAGGGTCTTAAGTCATAGAAAATTGACCAATCATAGTCGATTATTCTTCTCATATTCTACTGTGATTGGTAAATTTTCTACGACTTAAGACTACGACTGCTACGACTTCTATTGTAGACCCCGCTTTAACAGTTTTGCAACCGTTTTGTGATTCCTCGCTGAGATAGGACTATTCCATATCATGGTAAGAGATATGATAGGAACGTGGTAGAACATACAGTGCTACACACATTACTATTGCAAACGTGATAGTACTCAAGAAATAAAAACATATGCATTTTTAGTTAAAATGAAGTAGTTTATTATATATTTTTAAATACTTTATTATGTTATATATTATAACTTTTCAGTACTACTGCGTGTACAATACTCTACTGCAATGTAATAGTATTACTTGAAAATATATTATACACAGTAGAATTGTACAATTATATATAGCACACATTTGTATAAATATTACAACATATTGTACATTATAATTCCTACATTTAGCAATTATATCTTGCATGCAGTTATATTTTATATGAGTATACTTATATACTTATGTTTTTATGTAGACTTTTACATTTTAACTTTATATTATTCAAATAAAATAAGTAACCAAACTTTCGAGAATGTCAAAAAACAAAAACAAACAAGGGCCAATGAGAGTTTTTTGCTCGGTTGTTAGTGCGAAAATAAAAATTGTTTGTCAAAAAACTATAGTATAATTAGTTACGCATAACGTTTCGGCCTACTTCCGGGCCATCATCAGTATATCTGATAACGTATGTTGTAAAATTCTCACTTCTTCATGGAGAGACGGTAGAGTGGCAACTCAATCTCCTTATTCTATTTACAATGGTTGACAATTCACTTGACTTCGACTCTGATTCCGAACAACGTACAGTGTCTCTTACAATTAGGAGGAAACTTTTCAATGCCTCCTTCTAATTATAAAAAAATTATTTTAGAATTTATAAAAAACATCGAAAATAGTCTTAATAAATTACACGTAAGCAAACGATTAGACGTTAGGAACCGAATGTCAATTATTAATAATCTTTCATCGAGTTTTAGTCGGATGGATTTTTTGGAGGATAAGTTTGCAGATATTACTATTACATATTTTTCAAAATTAGAATTAGAAATTAGTAACTTTAAACACTTTGTTTGTACCTCTTTAGCTGAAATAGTAATAGGTTCAGAAGCAAAAGGATTATCGATTACAAATATGTTTAGATTTTGAGAATTACAAAATTCTAAAAAAAGAGAGACTGAGTATTAATAATTCTCCTATCGCAAAGAGGTATACATCATTTTCATACATCATAATCGTAACAGTTGTAACAAGAATCGTAATTTCATTAAAAATGTTTGCAATACATTGTCTTTTATTAAAAAAATACCTTATGTATATATATATATATATGTATACACACGCAATTACTTTATGGTAATGTAATACAAATCTTATTTTATTATATAACAAAAATATAACTTCTGTTATGTTACATGTTATATTTATGAGTAGCAAATTACAATTGACCGGTATGTTACCGATAACAATTATGTTTATTACTTGTAACATTCTAATTTATTGCACTTATATAACACTAATATAACGATGTTTACTGGGCATAAGGTCATAAGCTAACAAATCGGCCAATCACAATCGAGCGTTTCAAAATGTGAAATCGCAATTTTGATTGTGATTGATCGATTTGCTTGAGACCTTACGATTACGACTAAAATCTTTGTACATATTATGCATAATAGCAATAGTGGAACATTTAATGAAAAATTTATTTTTAATGGAGGTGACTTTATAAACAAGGAATAAGTTCAACATGGTAATAACGTTAATAAAATTAAAATTTAAATTATATATAGAAATATTATATAAAAAATTTAAGTTATACAGCATTATGTAATATGAATTGTATCACATAATACTAAAAAATAAAAATGTCTGCAGTTACATACATACATTAGCAAGAATTACGTACGGTAGTTATTCGTGACAAATCTCTGGTTAACCATCGCTATCGATGATTGCATACGGAAATATAGTAGTCACATTTGTTTCATCTTGTTACATATATTAATATTATAATAGACGCTAATTTTATGAAAAATACTTACACAAGGTTCACGATAGAAGTCGCAGTGATTGTAGGGTCTTAAGTCGTAAAAAATTGATTAACCACATAATTGAATATGTGAAGAATAATCGATTATTGGTCGATTTTCTACGACTTAAAATCCTATGATCGCCACGACTTCTATTGTAGACCCCGTATTAAGAAAGTAGATGGAGTTTGAGACTCGAAGAAATCGTGAAGATGTTAAAATTTACGAAGTAAATAGCTAAAATTATTACGAACTATAAAGAATGGCGTTTTCATCTCTGGTAAAAATTTCAAGCATGTCCGTACGTGAATTTGAACATCTGGTTAAATGTAGTTTCTTGCACTGGAAATCCTGTTATATCCAAAATACATTTGGAGTTCCAGGTAAGTTCTACATCAACTCTTGTTTGCGAATCTTGTTCTGTCCATTTTGGAATTCCAAATAATTCAGGATAAATCCTGTTTTTAACTGAATACGAATCTTCATGCAATTATAGATTCCCATCTTTTAATGGGAAATCCATTAGTCGTCACTAATTTAAACATAGGAATACATAAACCGGATTATGTTATTTCTTGATAAAAACCAATAAACTTTATATCGTAAATTTTTTGCAATATCTAACGTATTTGGAATTACGGATATAAAAAAACAACATTTTTATCTGGAAATTCAACTATGTACCATGAAATGGAAATACTTATATAACCAGATTTAATATTTACTTAGATGAACTTTATGCTAGTTAAAGACTGATTTGTCCATATCTATCCTCATGTGAGTGTAAGTACTTTTTACTTGGACATAACTGGAATTTTTAGCAGGGATAAGTGTTAACATCACATCATCTATATCTGATTATATTCGTACACGTATATTATACTTACCGATCATATTATATAATACATTACAAAACAAAGAATTAATAACAAGGCTAATAAACAAATAAAAAAATGACCACAACTACAAAACGACACAGCCAAAGCGAGCGATAAAGCGTACTTTTAATTTCTAGAGACTGGAAAAATCATCTGCATTAAATGATTGGAGAAATCTTTGAATTAATTATTTTTTACATTTGTTAAAACTATACGTTTCTAATTATAGTCTTGTGCGTATCCAATTGCAGTATCTAATTGCTACCGAATCAACGGTATAAATAAATATAAAACTGGCTCTGAAAAATTTTATATATAATGCAGTAACGAAATATCAGTGATTGTTTTTTCGACTATCTGACGTTAATAATTTTCTTATAAGGTTCATCTTTGCAGAAGATAATTTATCTTCCTTGATAAAGTGAACGGCCTTATGTTTATCTATCATTTCATTTTCATCGTGAGAACTCTCAAAACATGAAGGACAATAGAGATCACCTGTACATCCTGTGCATTTATATAGGTCTGATTCATTCACAGTTCGCGAGCACATGATGCATTCATTTTCATTCTCGTCTTCATCTTCAGTTTCATCTTCATTATCGTCTTGTACGTTTGGAGGAGTCTGTGTGATTTTTTAAAAATATAAATTTTATGTAAAAATATTAATAATTATTTGCTAAATTCGAATATACAGGGTGTCCTTGATCTACGGAATCGCATGTCAGCGGTGTGCGCGACAAGAGCCAATAAACGCCATAACTCGAGCTACGCGCTTGCCAAGCAATCCTTACTCCATGCGGTCTGTGTATCGAGCGATAGGCATACACTTGGTAGTAGTAGGCCGAGCGAATAACGCACTATCTTTAAAATTAATCTTTCGTTAACTATTGCAAAAATTGCAAAATTGTAGAAGACTTTTTGACTCATTGTCAGTTCATTTCGCTCTACCTGCTCATGACGGGCGATCCCATAGATCGAAGACATCCTGTATAACTATATGATTTTTCAGAACATAAATGACTGTAGAATGAAATAAAAATAAAGAGCTAAACATGCACGTTTATAATTTACGAATACATACCTCTATTTCCATTGCTGAAATTTTGTTAATTAGTTCTGTATTATCGCTGCTTGTCGTATCACGTAACTTCTTGTAAATGTCGATTTCTTCCTTCATGCATTGATCAAAACGCTAGAAGAGATAAAATCGATAATTTTACATTCTAAACTTTATAATGTCATCCACTCACAGTTCTATTGCCATCATCCTGTAAGGAGTTGAACATCTCCTCGATATCTTTACAAAGGTCGCTAGTTGAAGGCAGCTCCATTGGCGCAAGGTATTCCTGAATTAAATCCTCTGCTTTCTCTTGATCTGTTCTAGTATCTATTCGATATATCTGCAATAATCAATTTATAAAAATAAAAATCTACGTAATGCAATTATATTTATATATTTCAAGAAAAAGAGCTACGAACCAGAAATTTTACGTATAAAATTGGTAGATAAGTAAAAAAGTCTTGAAGGCTCCTGACTACTCAGCCAAGAACTCTGCGTTGATGGTGGCGACACACAATCAAACGGCGGTCTAGCGAAACCGGTAGCAACACCTTCAAGCACGAGCCCATGTACGTGTGCTCGCCTTCGGCGCGCCAAGAGTGAACGAGACAGCGAGCTCCTTCTCACACTATAGTCGCTTGTTTCAAGCGACCGAAAATGCTTTCTCGGCAATCTCGACCGCTCGGCAGCCCTAAGCATCAATAAGGGGGGCATTCTAAATAACATATAAGTTTTAATAAATTGTAATAGTGTATCCCTCCCTTTAATCTAGAATAGTATAAATCAAGTTAAAACGCAACAGTTTAGAGATATTTAACGAGATATTTAATTGTTTTTCATGCGCGTTATATAGTATATCCCTCCTTCATAAACTCGAGTAGCAAGAATAGTTCAGTAGAAGTAGAATTTTATCGGAAAAAAATTATAAACTAGCATTTCTTTTCACGAAAGTCTCGAAAAGCCATCAGAAAAGAAAGGCGTATGTTTGAGACTCGAGACTTGTGAAGAAAATATGCGAAAAAAAATCGAATAGTTGCAATCAGCAACCACACGTTTTTCGCTTATAAAACGAAAGATATTGATTGTATGGAAAAAAGTTCCACATAAAAAATATAAGTATTCGAAATACCTACAAAATGAGACGTGAAACATTAAAATCGATCTATTAGTTCAGTAAAAAAAAAAAAAAAAAAAAAAAACACTGAAAAAGGCCTTTTTTTCACTCGCTCTCTGTTCATTGAGATTTAAACGCAAAGCTTTGAAATTCTCGTAAAATATAGCCCTCGTAATGACAAACAAATCTAATCCTGAACAAGTTTGTTAGTTTTTGCAAAAAGCCATTTGTTCACTAAAAACCTGTCTGCGGAAAACTTAATTTCTTCATCTTTGAGCAATCGTACAGCAATTTAATTTTTCTTCTTCAAGAGTTGCACTATCACGTACACTTAATAACAAAACGATTTTTTGCAATTAAACTATTATAAAACGATTTTAAAAAGTGGATATCTTTTTTTCGTATAAAAAAATGGAATAATTCCAATAACCATATCAAATAATCGTGTGAAGCATTCGGCAGCTGACATTTTTTTACGAATTTAAAAAAAAAGTAACTTCCGATTATTAGGAGCCAAGATAACAATTTTTTTTCGAAAAACCATTATGGCTCTAATTTTTAAGATTAAGAGTTCCGTCTGACACCAATTTGTCAAGGAAGAATTGAATTTGCTGTTAAAAATTCTCGAATTTTTTACTGCCGAAAAAGTTTGTTTAAAATCATTGGAAAGTTGAAGAACGCGAGCGAGGTAGTGCGCCAGGCGGAGTGAGAGAAGCCGGCGCAGAGTCGAGTCAGGAAGATCGGGCCGCTCGGCGATTCGCGCATCTAATTTTGTGTGTTAAAATTTGTTAAATTTACATTTTCTCAGCAATAAATTGACGTAAAAACATGATTTTTTTATATTTGGGGTAGCTCGACGAGATATAAACAAATAACTTAACAAAATGTTTCGCAAAGTAATTGTAACTATGAAATTTTTAGTTTTTTGTTTCTTGAATTTTTATTTTTTCGGTTTATTACTAAAAAATCACGTTTGAGTGTGGAGTGCATGTCTGATTAACAAATTTAAGTCACATACATTAGCTACGTTTCTTTATTTAATATGCTGTAAAAAATGCCCAATTGGACAATTAAATGTACGGAATTATCAGTTGAAAATTATTTTTGTGAATTTAATTGCAGATACAAATATGACATATATGAACAAATAATTAATAAATAATTTGCCAAATGTTAGTGTAACTGTTGAACATAGTCGCAAAATATATTTTTCATGTAACACTAATTTACTTTTATATTTGCGAAAATTAGTGTTATATTTTCAACAATCCTATATCTTCAATTATATGGAAGTTGGTAAAACACCAGAAAGTGTGTTAGCTACATTAAAGATGTTAAGTCTAGTAATATGTAAACTTTGGTAGGCGTCTTTTAACTCTAATCGCATAATTGCCTTTACATGATTTAATTGGATATTCTTTGCAAATCGTTTGTATGAAATACTATTATAAAGTGATTAATCATTACATTTAGTAAGCTTATATAAGTGTAAAGGGACTATGTCGCATTTTAGACAAGAATTTAGAAATTTTATTCGAATCCTAATGTTCATACTTAGTTTAATTAATTTACATAATTCTTTGAGTAAATTGCAATTATTGATACCAAAATGATTTCTAATAAAGGAAAAGATGAAAAAAGAAGAAGAATATTCGTGAATATAACGCATAATTTCGCCCGCGTAAATACGATCAATAGTACACTGAGCATTTTCAATTCTTTACACATAAGATTACAGTTTACTATGGAGGTTGGTGTTAACGACATAATATGTTTTCTTGATACAACGATTATCATTGACAATGCAGAGAATCATTTTTGATACATATCACGAAGCAACATTTTCTGACAAGTTCCTCAATTTCCATTCGAATCACCCTCTCTGTCACAGAAGAGGCACAATCATTAGTTTTTTAGATAAAATATTCTATTTGTCACACCCTCGCTTTTAACAAAAAAATTTGATCGACGCAATTCACACTTTTCTTGAAAATTTTTTGACAAATTCTAATGTATGTGTGTGTATTTTATGTTTCTGTTCATTTTAACTATATATATATAACAAGACGAAGATCCATCTTAATTTATTGATACCAATAATTATATAGTTATACAATGTGAAGTATATTTTCAATTTTCGATCGACTTTATGTTATGTATTTTACCGTTTAGACATATTTTGTAAACATTGATAATGATCCGATTGTGATCGAAACGTTTGTTGTTAGCCGGCATATTATTAAAGTTCATAATTAATTTATTAAAACGTTTTTTTACTTATCTATCAATTTTATACGTAAAATTTCTGGCTCGTAGTCCTTTTCTTTTAACTTGCTTTTTATATTATTGAGTTATTATACTATTATATATTTTTATACATTTCGTTTACATACATTTATGATGTTACTTCCACTGGCTTCTGGATTTTGATCTTTCAATAATGCCAATCTTTGTTTTATCTCCTCAACTGTAGGCAATGGAATGTTTCGTTCCTCATCTTTTAGCTTTCGTAATCTGTCCACAATCTGTTGATCAGCCGGCTCTAATCCCATCTTAAGTTTGTCCCAGTGACTTGCATGTTTATAAATCACTATTGGAGGCTTTACTGGATTTTCTAATAAATCTAGTCTATTAAAATATTCAATATTAAAAAATGTTATTTTTTAAATATAACAATTATATAACATTTTTTAAAATTAACAATAGAAACAAGTTCCCAAGAAATACCAATATAGCAAAAAAGAAAAGGGCTAATGGAAATTAAATAATAGCGCTATATAATATAATAAATGCGCTGTTATATTGTAAAATACATAACTACCGACCATGATAGTTTTGGAACGGCTTATGGTAACCGAGGTATGGCTTTGAAAGGCACCCCAGAAATTGTGTCGCTCGGCGACAAGGCCGCGCGCCGACGGCGGTCGAACCGCCGAGGGACACCATTTCTACCGGTGCGTGTACATGGGCTCGTGCTTGGATGCATGGTGGAAATATATAAGGTGAAGCAATCTGATAGATGCGCAGTAGGAAAGTGCATATTCGGACATATTTGATTGGCTATTCCAGTATAACCTGCGCTATTATAGGTAGGAAAGTGCATATTCGGACATATTTGATTGGCTATTTCCAGTATTTCTACCGCCATTATACGTATTGTTTCACCTTATATATTTCCACCATGCTTGGATGTATGTTACAGCGCCGCACCAAGATAAATGGCTGAACTTGTAGGCGTGGAAAAGTGACGTTTTGACGACGAAATTTATGTTGCATGCCGTTTCGTTATTACTTGTTTAATTGTGAAAATGTGGCTTGTCTCGTAGTTATCAAAGTCATAATTATCGATGAAAACTAAAGTTATCTTAGAATTTTATATGTAAAAGCGTATATTTTACTCGTTTCAACAGCTGTCAGACCATGTGTTTCTGCCCGGATACAGGTTCACTTTACGTGCCTTTTACGACCATTTACTGACTGTCAAGGGAGGAAAAGACAGTTTTCATCGAATTTTACAAGTGTTTTAAAGCGATCTTGTCATTTCGTTTCATCCAAATTGTTTTTATTTAAAAACGGCATGCAACATAAATTAACGTGTCATTCCTCGCTTCTGACGTCACGATTCCAACATGATCGCCGCAACTAGTCAGGAGCCTTAAGCATACTCTTTAAATTATAAGACAAAAATCATCAAAGTGGACAGTAGCAATCAATCATGATCTACGACATCTTCATAGAAGTGACACTTAAACTTGTATGGGCATGTAATCAATGTAATAAATACGAATAATAAGTATTTATAATGCGATTTTGCGACTATTATTTTTAATTTGTGACCGTTAAAATTTGTATATTGAGGATGACCCAACATGAAGGGTCGAAACGTGTTTTTATATTAATAAACGTTAATTTATACATTAAATAATATTATAAACAAGAACAACCAATTTGGCTTACTAGCCCTTTATTTTTTATATTGTGTGAATTTGTTATTCTAATAACTATTATATTCATTTAATTGACACTCATTGCGTATGTGCAAGTTGTATCAATGTGATGAATGACAGTCTACTTTCTTTTGTTTCTTTTTAAAAAAATTATTTTAAATAAAATAGAGCTACAATCCATACGAAAATAATAATTAATAATAGCTATTAATATTAACACACAAACGTTTCGATTTGCTATAAGGTCATATTCATTGTTTACAATTTTGAAAATTATAAAATTCATTGTCGAATCCTAATTAACGTACGCCAGATAGATGTTGGGTGCTGTGTGTCCGTCCTTTATACAGATAATTGTATCACATCTCGACGTTTAAACCGTCATTTTAGATTAATTAGGGTTCGACAATTAATTTTATAATTTTCAAAATTGTAAGCAACGAATATGATCTCGTAACACGTCGAAACGTCTGTGTGTTAATGTTAATAGCTATTATTTATTATTATTTTCGTATGGCTTGTAGCTCTATTTTATTTGTATGATTTATATCTTTTGAGCCGCTTAATATTTTTATATATTTATTTTAAATATATCTTTGACGTTCTCAATTTCATTATAGCTTTATTACATAAGAGTTACTTGTTTCTTTCTGGCCAGTAAACTGGAATGAATCTAAGGAATCTTTTTAGTATGTTGGATTAGTCGGACGGTTGACACCATGATTGATGCATTACTTGTACAAGATAGAATTATTGTGTCTAATTCCGCTGAGAATGACTTGAAGTAAGTTAAAACGCGTATGGATATTATACACCTATATACTAAAAAATGAACTTTAAAAACATCTCCATTGTTACACTTGCGCACAAAGTTTACTGCGCTGACTCCTACTTCCCCTTACATTCTTGTCTTTAATTTGTTAAATAAATACTTAAATAAAAAAATATGTACATATATTCATATCTACGTATCAAATGCACTTACGGACTTATTATCTCATTTTAATTGTAAAAATCTATATTCTTCCCCAATAAATGCATGGTTTTATATTATCCATTTATTTAAACAAAATAATTTTTTACTACATAAGCGTTCTCTTTTTTGTAAAGGATACGCTGTAGCATCTCTTTCATGACATGGCAGTGTCCCTTTCATAATAATATAGAAAGGATGTTTTTAATATATTAAACTTCAAAAATATACTTGATGGGAAACACCGCGTCTCCTGATAGCGCACTCATTATGCAGCGTTATTATTCCCATTAGCTCTTTCCTTTTTTGTTATATTTTTAAATACATATAAATACACATTTTACATAACAAACTATTTGCAAATACATAGCAGGAAAAATCAGTTTCTCTTACTTCATAGTGATGTCAATTGGTGCAAGTAGTTCTTCAGCCACGTTGAGCATTGAAGCATCATTCGCAGCAATATTATCGGAACTTGACTTTTTCATTATGTTCAACTTATAACAACGTCCACAAACTTTCTATCTATATTAGTAATATCACGCTGGTAATTATTTATATGAGCCTCCCACAGCTCAAAAATCCATAAAATTTAAGTTTAATCAGCGCGTTTTTGCATAAAACAAAAGAATTTGGCCGAAAAAATGTCGCTCTGCCCCGAAAACCGAGTTAAAGTTATTGTTAAAGTTGACATCTACATAACGATAACTATCGAGGTTAAGAAATCTATCACATCTACGCAATATGATTGACGTAACACTACAATACGTGGTGAGAATCATGTGAGTCATGAGGTGTGTTCTTTTTAGCTAAGGGCTCGTTCATACCAGAGAGAAACCTGAGAGAGGACATACCGGCATTGCCGGCCCAAAACCTGTAACCGCAAAATGCTGCCGCGCACTACTGGCCCCTGACAAAGTGGATGTAAACTAGATAAGGTAATTATTTTTTATATTTTCTTTTTAAATTTTTACATTTATTAATGCCATGCATACAAATACTATTAGTCTATTTTGCCGTAGTTTCGCTTTATTTTTGTTGTGCACAATCGCATCAACTTGACTGGTTCAATCGTAATATCATTTTTGATATGACATTTTGGACTTTACAGTACTTTACATAACACAATTAATATAATTACCGTCAAAAATGTATCGCTGTTAGCCCATTTATATAAGCGACATTCGAGGTTAGCGACATATGCAATTATATGCAATCACGTGATTCATTTGTCGCTGAATATGAGCGACGAGCGGCACCTTAAATACGTACCTTAAAGGTACTTTTTCATGGGCGTCAGTTGACGCGTTTTCAGCGTCAAAACAGGTCGTGATCAAAATTGACAAATACCAAGCATCAATTTTGATCACGTGACCTGCTTTGACGCTGAAAACGCGTCAACTACAGAATATTCACATTGAAGAGTTTGAGGGGCTCCGCACAATAAAAGGAATAAGGAACAGAGAACAGAGAATAAGAGGCTTCGCACAATAAAGGAACAGGGAACAGAGAACAGAGAATAAGAATTTCAACTTATCAGAAATCATGTATTGTGAAATACACACCGCGTATTCCACAATACATGATTTCTGATAAGTTGAAATTCTTATTCTCTGTTCCCTGTTCCTTTTATTGTGCGGAGCCCCTAAGAATTTCATCCTGTCAGAAACTGTGTATTCCACAATACATGATTTCTGATAAGTTGAAATTCTTATTCTCTGTTCCCTGTTCCTTTTATTGTGCGGAGCCCCTAAGAATTTCATCCTGTCAGAAACTGTGTATTCCACAATACATGATTTCTGATAAGTTGAAATTCTTATTCTCTGTTCCCTGTTCCTTTTATTGTGCGGAGCCCCTAAGAATTTCATCCTGTCAGAAACTGTGTATTCCACAATACATGATTTCGGATAGGTTGAAATTCTTATTCTCTGTTCCTTGTTCCTTTTATTGTGCGGAGCCGTTTACATAAGTTGCAAAGCTGCTTTCTATGCAGCCATTACTATTTACGTGAATACGTATGAATGGTACTGTCGTTTTTCTGTCTTAAATTTTCTTCTTACATTTTCGTGTGACTCTATATGACTTACTCAGTTTTCGCTATAAATATTATAATATCGATGTATGATGATTACGAAATTTGACATTCGTACCGCTTCGATCACATCTGACATTACGCATATAATTGTTAAATAATCTTTACTTTTGATGAATCACTTGTCATGAATGAGGATAACGTGTGGAGTGAACTAGCGAGCATTCCTGCCGATCCCCCTGAGACAAGAGACAAGTGTCAACAATGCAAGCAAGTGCCAAAAAATCCTTGCCCAATGTGATAAAGGATGGTAATTATGAAGGAGATAAGCTTAACACAAAAATCAATGAAATTAGGCTTATTTGACACGTTTTTACATAAAATGAAAGAACCTAACAGAAGAAAAACGTCACTCTGTCCCGTGAACCAAGACATTAATCGTTAAAGTTGATGACTATTCAGGTTAGGAGGTTGCTGTAGATTTGTCTTCAACGATTTCAAATATACCGACACTGTAGCAACATACAGACAACAATGTGTATACGTATTGCCAGCAGTTTAACAGCAAGATAGTTGCGTCAATATTATCGTTTTCGGCAAAACGACAGCGTTGTATGATGCTGCATATTATTATGGCAACTTGATGGCAATAGTACGAATTTTGATGATGACGGGTTTAAAGTTGTCGGCAAATTGCTGGAAAGTTGCTACTTAATATTATCAGTTGCGGGATTCTCTAAACATTCGTATCATCGACAATTGTCGCTATCGTCAACTAACAATAGCCAATGAGTACCACTCTTTCTTCCAGGATTGTCCTACCATTGACTGTTGCTAGTTAACTATAGCGACAATCATAGATAAGACGTTTTTTTAAAATTTTTTAATTTAAAAAAATTTTTTTTAATTCTGCCCATAAACTTCTAGCATTTATCCAGAATGAACTTGGTATCTTATAATAGGAGCCTTTCCTCTATATAGTAGAAGAATCCGCAAGTTAATAAAATTTTGATATATTTTTTATTATAACAGAAGATAATGAAAGAATCTTTTAAATTAAAAGACAGTTTGAAGTTAGAATAATAGTCTATTTTCCGAAAAAGTCGTTCCATGGAGAACCCAGCCACAAAGATCGGACCGACAAGCACGCAATTTTATCCCCAACGATATAAATAGTTATATTTATATGCTGGAAAATTGAATACTTGCATATTAATAATTTCTTATCTAACAATTATTTTTTAATAATAAATTTTTTTTTATACGTATAGAAATTCAATTTCGATAATCTTGTATTTAATATATATGTGCAGACGAACAGTAATGCAGCTCAATAATTCTGATTGGTTGATCTACACTCTATTACTTTTCCGAGATTCCGTTTTCTGAAATTCCGACTGTCATGGGATAGCACCCTTATAGCGAATTTGGTCACTTGCACTGCAATAGATCAGTGCATACTAAAAGTTTTACATGAAATTAGCAAAGTTAAATGTAAAAGTATATAAATATTTTAAACGATTAACTATCTACTAATGATATTGTCATGTTATTTTACGAAATATATGTGTATCATTTCATTGTCAAAAATGATTATATTGTATTACTGCATTGAGATATTTTATATAAAGCAGCTTTTAATATGCACCCATCCAGTGTAGTGCGAGTTATCAAATTCACCATTAATTAAGACTCATTCTACATTGGTTGTATTCTACGTAGACGTCGCAGGTTGCAAGCTTGTTGCATCAACCAATTTATACGTCAAAGACACACGACGCTTACGATGCTTAAATTGAGACGCTACGAAATGACCAATGTAGATTAGATTTCTTTATATCTCGGTTCGCGGGCCGAAGCAATGTTTTTTTGCCAGATTCTTTTGTTTTATGCAAATTCGCGTCGAATAAGCCTAATTTCATTGATTTTTGTAAGTAAGCCCGTCTCCTTCATAAATACCGAAGGGGTACTTTCCGGCAAAAGACACACGTGATACAGTGTAACATAATGAATCATTACGTTCTTGTTATTTACCAATATTAAACAAAGATAAAATGATTCTGTTACACTCTCATCTGTGTCTCTTACTGAAAGTGCCTAAGAACTTTTTGAGTCTAATATCATGTATGTTTTCATAGGAGACCTGTACAGGTATGCTGGTGTCCAGGTTTACCGAAACAGCGTCTCAATCCAGCGTCAAGGATAATAATCCTGCAGCATCCAGCAGAAGCTAAGCGCTGTTTACGTACGGTACCAATGCTCACATTGGCATTAGAATCGGGAAAGTGCCTAATTTTTAGGTGAATGAAGTATAGATCACGTTTACACAGCACTCTTAACCCGGGAGTAGGCGCGTCTCGAAACTAACGTTAGTAGGCACGTCATGGTCATTTTGACCGAAATATATTTTCGCACATATATGTGTTATAACTAGAATACGTATATGATTATAATTACTATAAGTAATAATTAATAAGAAAAAGTTTTGATAATGCTTTATATTAATCAATTGAAAATAAAGTAACGTAATAATTACTGGAAATAATTATATTGTATTTATATGATATATCTTTATTTTAATTTAATTTTTTTTATTTGTTAAAATTATTGATATGTAACAAAATAATAAGAAAATTATAATTTTATTTTTTATTTATAAAAATATAATAATGGCGGAGACTGGTGGAGACGACAAAACTAATGTAAGTGCGCGCGCTACGGTCTTTTAGATCGTTACAAACATCAAATTTTATGTAGATATAAGCGTGTTTACGTTATCTATATATAAAATTACTAACAAAGTGTTTAATTTACCATTTGGCTCTCAGATTCAATAAATTAATTGTGGAGTGAAATAAGGGCAATTGAGAACAGTCGCAATTGACTTTAGCGTATATCTATTCATATATATTAACTATTAAGTGAACTTGAATTTGTGACAAGGAATTAGTTCCAACGAATTTTATGTAATTTAAAAATTAATGTTATTCTTAAATTATCATTTGTTCTGTGCGATAAATCTTCACTTGTGTAGTTTGTTCTTAACAGCCTTATAGCTGGTTAAGGAGTTTATTCTCAAAGTTCAAATTATGCAATCGTCTCAAAACCATCAAGAATCCACGACTTCAATTTAATGTTGTATACGCTGAAGATGGGTTAATTTGTAAATTGAAACGTTCGTATGTATTGAGAACCAAGAAATTTTGTAATAAAATTACTTATATGTAATAATATATGTGGCTAAATATACGCTAAAGTCAATTACGACTGCTCTCAATTGCCTTTATTTCACTCCACAATTAATTTACGTTATCTATTTTCGCATACTATACGAAAAAATGTTAACATTTACGTAAAGATAAAAATATAATAGTGCCAATAAATTGAAAGATATAAATAAAAAACGGAAGAGTACGACAAAATGACCGGTATGCGATCACTCTCGGATTAATTGATTTAATAACATCTATAGTTATGAAACTGATCAATCATAGCTATTCCTCTGTAGAATGGAATGATTGTGACTATGTTTACACGGTATCCTTAATCGGGTTTAATAACATCCATAGTTATGAAATTGGCCAATCATAGCTGTTTCTCGAAAGAATGGAACGACTGTGATTGGCCAGTTTCATAACTACGGATGTTATTAAACCCGATTAAGGATGCCATGTAAATGTAGTCTGTGATTGATTAGTTTCTAACTGCGGTTGTTATTAAATCTGATTAAGGATGACCGTGTAAACGTAGTCATAGTTACTTAGCTAAATCACTGATTGTATAATCACTGACCATGAGTTTGGATTATATAAGATTTTAAAAAATTATTTTTTTTAAGAGGAAAGAAGTTTCCGTTGCCTAAGCACGAGGGCCTGGCAGAGATATTAAATGACGAGAATACTATTTTACTGTACCCATCGCCTGGCGCTGTAGCACTGGACACGCTAGATTCAGTTGGAATTAACAAACAGAAAGCATATAACTTGGTTCTGCTGGATGGAACATGGCCACAAGCAAAAGTAAACCATCATTAATGACATCTGTAAACTTAATAATAAATCAAATAAACTGTTGCAACAGATGTAACAAAGTGCAACAAAAGTTAAAAATAGTTGAGTCATTTGTTTTTTCCTATATTACTGAAAATCTTGTTGACTTTTATAGTCTACTGATTTGATTCGTATTTTGCCTCGGAGCTAAGATAATTGGGTATCTATTGTCAAAAATAGAAATTCAAAAAGATAAATCGTTTTTAAAACATGAAATTTACAGATGGATGGATAGACCAACACTACACAATTATAATGTAGTTTGCTACACTGCACTACTTAATAAGGAAGAGCCAATACACAGTCGAGGCTACATCTTGGTGCCTAATAATATTTATATGTAAATTTTAAATACATTTTTCGGTAAATGTTACAATAGAAGATTCAGTTCTGATGACTTTGATTTTGACATATGTTGTCATGACCATAGTTGCAAGTTTTCTCTGACTTAAAAATCAGAGATTTCATTTATCTTGCTGAAGATCGCTTGCGACTTTCAAAATTGTTACTATATAACATATATGTAACATGTTCTTTTAAAAAACGTAAAAAAAAGCGTCATCAAATGTTTTCCGTCAACCAGAGAACTGAAGATTTAACTGTGGTCATGACCCTAAGTGATCTCCAACTGGTTTTACTTTATGCTCGTTACCTGTTAAAAAGTTTAATAAAAAATGTTCACTACACGAGGTGAAATGAAGTCTATAATTGTACTGTTCCACATGGGTTTTCGAATTCCACGCGAAACGATGTGTCCACCCCACCTCTCCCCCTGCTTCAGAGCGTATGACTTTCCAGGTGAAGGGAGGTTTTCATCACA